AGAGGGGCAGAATCACCTCTCTTGACCTGCTGGCAACACTCCTCCTGATGCAGGCCAGGATCCCATTGGCCTTCTTGGCCACGAGGGCACACTGCTCACTCATGGTTAACTTRGTGTCAACCAGGACTCCCAGGTCCCTCTCCGTGGAGGTGCTTTCCAGCAGGTCCACCCCTAATCTGTCCTGATGCCTGGGGTTATTCCTGCCCAGGTGCAGGACCCTGCACGTGTCCTTATTGAACCTCAGGAGGTTCCTCTCTGCCCAACTCTCCAGCCTGTCCAGGTCCCTCTGCACCTCCTCCCGCTGGCAACACGGGAAACTGAGGCTGCCTTCCCTTGGATCCCAAGCGACTGCACCCCAAAACGCCCCGCAGAGACAGACGCTCCCTTCTGGGTCTTATTCCAACCCCAGGAGAGGACAGAGCCAACAAGCTGCTGTCTACACYCGGGGCGATCTTGAGTGATTCTCACTGCTCCCAACAGCCTCCACACTACACAGAGGAAGGGAATCGCAGGGCCCTCTGCTTTACGGCCATCAGGACCACGGGGACTGTGTTCCACGTCCTGGCCAACAGGGAAGGCCACGCCGGGAAGGCGCAGCCCAAGGGGAAACAGGAATAACCCTGCAATATTCCCTGCTATTCTCCCTAGGAAAGAGCAAAGCTCACATGGAACATCAGCCACCTCTTCCCCATGTGCTGTGCTGGGCACATGGCCCTGCACGAGGCTGATCCGGCCTTGGCTCGCGRGCCATTGGAATGGGCGTTACGTTGGCTGGCACCACGAGCAAGCTGCCAGGCACAACGGGACCCATCAGACCTCTACAACATCGCTCCTCTTCCCCMCACAAGAGAAAATGAAAAGGCAACCGCTACCAACCTTATAGAAGTTCCCGTACGACTTGCGAATGTTGATCCACCTCTTGGCAAAGGAAGGGTACTTGATCCGGCTGATACGGCACTGGATGTTCAAGAAYTTGCTCATATCCCAGGAGCTTCMAAAGACAAAGAGAGAAGAGGSGGGGGGGAAAAAAACCCACATAAATAATGATGAATTTGGCTGCCCTCCGTCCAGAAAGGGCTGGCAGAAGAGAGCCTAGGCGGCRAAAAGCCTCCTCCTGGCAAGGAGCTTTTCAGCACAAGCTTGTTAATCAAAGGGGAAATAAACGAGCCGCCTGCCCTTCCTCCCCCATGGACGGGGCCTCCCCCCTGCACCCCTTCTCCTGCAGCGGCACCACCCTGCRGGGCTGCAGGACCCTGCCGACAACAAGGGCCTTGCACGGGAACCATCTTCCCACCCACTAATCCATGTSAGTTGTTAGAAAAAGGAAACCAAAAGGCCTGTGAGGCATCCATTCCTACCAGTGTCCGAACCCTACGAGACTTTCCAAGCCAACCACGTCGCAGGCTACGGCATTTTTCTGTGCTTTATGTGAGGGAAGGGTTAAGAGGACATCATTTGAGCTGCCTGGAACCACGAGCGTCGCTTGAGCAGCTCTGAGGTATTATGGAAGAATCCTACGGAACCTCTCCTGTAACTCCCGGGTTCGGGAAGGTTTCTCCTCATAAGAACAAGTGTGTGAGACTTGCTGTGAACCCGCAAACTGCAACGCGCTACAAACACCCTCCTGGACACCCRAACGGGTTTGGAAAGCTGGAGAAGGAACAGTGCCATCTAACGGCCCCACGCCTCACGTCCAGCTCCGTCTGCAGCTCTCCCAAAGGTGCGGGCACCCGGAGCAAGCAGCGAGAGCAGCGGATCCTCTTGCTGTCCCCGGGAGCACCCAGGGGCTCTGCCGCTGGGGAGGACACTCCRGGTTTCCCGGGACCTACCCGTCGGTGAGCAGGCAGTAGCTGTACTTGGTTCCCAGCTCCCGCGCCCGCATCCAATCCACGACGTTCTGCAGCACCTGAGGGAACGGGTCGGCCTTGTCGACCACCTCCTAGCACGGGAGGAAGGGGAGGAGGGAAGAGAAATGGGGAATAAAATGAGAGGGAGCAGTATGGAGCGTAAAAGTGAAGCTTGCACTGAGTTACTAAACTGGGAAGGCTTTGCAAAATTCTTCTGAAAACTGAAAATTCTTCTGAAACGTATTACTCACTATAAAAGCACAACTATAAAACCAGCATAAATTCTGCTGGATTCTTCCAGCAAAAGGCATCACAAGATCGCCCTCGAAATAGCCAATGACCTCCAGACAGCTCACGGATTAGTCATTTGTTGAACTCGGCTCAAAAGCCTTGGAGCCTGTGGCCCTGCTCCGGGCTCAAGCTGCTCGAGCACAGACCGTAGCCACCGTAATGCTCCCCGAACCCCCCCCAAAATTACAAGTATTTGTACATATACACACAGGGGAATGTGTATATGCACACACATATGCATCAGCAGAGGAACTGATGTAGTTAGTCACTGTTTTACTAAATACAGCTACAAAGTGAGGGCTTTTGCCCATGAAAGTGCCAAAAAGACCAACCTGGTGACATCAATTCTGGGATAAGGGCTTGGAAAGGGGGAAAAAATAACAAAAAAYGAGGAAAAGAGTAAGTCTACGGAATAATGAAAAAGAAGTGGCACGTAAATCTGAGGGTGTCAGCSCCAAACCTCTCGCTTGTGTGTTTGGGAGGACACAGAAGCCCCCGTTACCTGCGTGATCCCCGTGAGGCCGACGCAGAAGGCAGAAAGCTTGGGATTAATCTCCGGCTTCACGTACTGCTGGAAGGAATCCTCCTGCGGCGAGGGAAGGAAATGCTGGGGTCCACGCCAGGATTCCGCCCGGCACCGGGAGCCTCCCGAGGGGCTGCCCGGCTTTCCCACCCTCGGCCACGCGGACGCGGGGAAAACAAGGAGAGGAAATGCAGGTTTTTTAGGTACAAACCGCCCCTCCTGACAGATCCTGGGAAACACAGGGGCTGCGAGGGGCTCTGCTGCTCCCAGCCACGCCAGGAAATGCTCCCCCTGCTCCCTCCGCTTCCCGAGAAACGCGGCGTTTCTGGGAAGAACGCGCCGCTCCCTCCTTTCCAGCGAATCTCTCCATTTCAGCGGGACAGGAGAGGGGAGTTTTCCCTACGGGAGAGGCTGCTGAAGCGCCGGAAGGGGGAGCTTCCGAGGAAAAACCACGTGGGAGGCTGAGAAACTGAAAGGTCCCTCTTATCAGCAGAGATGCTCAGAGTGGAAATAAAGGCCACATCTCGGAGGGGAACCACCTTCTCCAGCTGCTCCGTGTTTTTAAGGACAGAAGGGTTTGGCCTTGGTTAGCAGGCACAAGTATAGAATTTTTTCTCTTTTTAAGAGAAAAAAAGCGGCTGCTTCTAACACCCATTTCAACACGTACCTAAAACCCACCCCGGCCTTTCCGAAGGAGAGAAGACGCGTCAAAAGCAAAGCACCCCGGGACAACAACCCCTTGCCGAGGGGTTATTATCTCACAGGACGGTATTCGGGGTGTTGCGGGCGCACTCACTATCTGCAGGGTGCGCGTGTTGAGCAGGACGACGGGGAACTCGATGATCTCGTGCACGAAGCCGGGCGGGTTGCCCTCCTCGCACGTGGCCTCGAAGTCCACGACGCAGAGGTAGTCGAGGCCGCCGCCGCCGTCCGCCGCCTCCTTCTGCACCAGCTTCTGCTTCTTGTAGTGGTTCTTGAGCCTCTTCTTCAGCACGTCCTTCACCCCTCTGGACACACAGGGAGAGCAGCAAGGGTCACCCGTAATGCCAATTATTTCAAAATCGTCACATCACTTATATCAACGGTAAACGTAACATCAATTATTTCACCGCTGGTCAGGCAAAAGTGCCCCCGGCAGCGCAAAAACATCATTTCCAAGCCCATTTTGAGCTGCAAATCCAACATTTACCATGCAGCTCCTGCTGCATTACAACAGGGCTCGGGATACTGGGATAACCGGGCGTTTTGGGACCGTGTGAGCAGCACGGCGCAGGATTAAAACAACCCTGAGGACCAAGCGAGGGGTTTTATGATAAGCTCGGCCTTGCCTGGTGTCGAGCTTGAACTCGGCCAGCTTGCGGCGCAGCTCGTCCCTGCTCATCCTGTTGATGCAGCCGTTGGTGACGGCGATCTCCTTGTAGACGGGGTCGCTGAAGGCGCCCGGCCTCGCGGCCGGCTCCTCCCCGGCGCCCTCCTGCTCCTTGTTCCCGCAGGGCTGCGGCTTTCCCTGCGGGAACACGGCAGAGTTCATGGAAAACTGCGCGGAAACGTGAAGGAGGCAGAGAGAGAGGCCAGACTGTGAAAATGTACATGTCGTTTTGCTGTGAAAATGCATTAAAGCATCACAGCTTTAATCCAGCTCTTTAATCAAAGGGGGATTATTAATCTCTTTAATCCCTCTTTAATAAAAGAGGGAAAATGTCTTAGAAATGGATAAGAAAAAAGGAAGCACCTTGGAAATGGGCAGGAACCAGGCAATAAGGGAACCTGCTTGGAAAAAGGACACGTTCTCCTTTATTCTTTGGGGGAGTAGTGATAAAAATAGCAATAATAAGGAAAACAGAAGAAAAGGATGCAAAAGTAACGGCACGAGGTCGTGATGGGCGGTAAACATGGGTGGGAAAAGGCAGGGAAAAGCTCCCTGGTTTCGGCAAAAAAAAAAAAAGGGTCGGGTCCCTCTGTACCGGCTGTTGAAACAGTAATGGGAAAAAGCGCGGTAAAAAAAAAAAAAATGGGTAAAAAACATGCAATTTGGGGGAAAAAACTGGGCACGCCGTTGCCGTGGTAACGGCGGGGCGGCGCCTCCGCGCATGCGCGGGGCGGCGGGCGGGGGGAGCGCATATAAGCCGCGCGTGCGCAGCGCGTTGGCGCCGGCCCTCCCTCCCCCCTCCCCCCGCGGCGGGGCCGTTACGGCGGTTGGGGCCGTTACGGCGGTTGGGGCGCCCCGCGCGCCGGCTCCCCCCGCCCCCGCGACAGGCGCTGCGCGCTGTCGCTCACCGCGGGGCGCGCGGGCGGCGGCGCCTCGTTGAGCGCGGCCCGCGGGCGGTTCTCCTTGTGCTCCTCCATGGCGGCGGGCGGGAAGGCGGCGGGGCGGCCGCGTCCCGCCCCTCCGCGGGGCGGGGCGGCGGGAACCGCCGCGGTTTTGGCTTGTGTTCACCCTTCTTTCCCTTCTCTTTTCGTGCAGAGCCGCCTTTTCCGCCGCGGGAGGCGCAGAGAGGTGCCCGGCAGACGCACTTCCAGCTCCCGTGTGCGACGAGCCTGCTGTGGGCCCCGCTGAGCCCTTGTCCCGTTTTGGGGGTCCCTTGTGGGCCTTTGCCGGGTTTTGGAGGTGCCTCTCGAGCCTTGGTGGGTTTGGGGGGCTCCTCATGGAGCTTTGCCTCGTTTTGGAGATGCCTCTAGAGCTTTGCTGGCTTTTGGGGGTCCCTCCTGAGCCTTTACCCCCTTTTGGAGGTGCTTGCTGGGCCTTTTTCCTGGGTTTGGAGGTCCTTCCTGAGCTTTTGGCAGGTCTTTGGTATCTCTCATGGGCAAATGCCTGGTTGTAGGGGTCCCTCCTGAGCCTTTGCCACATTTTGGGGGTCCTTCCATGGCCTTTTCTACGTTCTGGAGGTCACTTCTGACCCTTGCTGAGTTTTGGGGGGTCTGTCCATGGCCTTTGTCCCATTTTGGAGGTCCCTTCTGGACCTTTGCCCCATTTGGGGGATCCCACCCATGGCTCTGCACAGTTTTGGAGCTCCCTCCAAGGCTTTTGCTGGATTTTGGAGGTCCYTCCTGAGCCTTTCCCTGCTTTAGGGAGTCCCTTCTGCTCCTTGGCCTGCTTTTGGGGGTCCCTCCTGAGCACCTAAGTYGGTGCAGGTGCTTCCCGCTGCCCTAGGGGTCCTGCTCAGGGCACCCCGGGCACCCCTGTTCCTCACCAAACCCACAGAATGCCCTAAAAAGAAAAAGAGCAGGCTCATCCCAGCAAGTGCTAAGGAGGCTCCCGAGCACATCCCCACGCGTCCATCCTCGGGCGCCCATGGGGGCGGAAGGAAGCGGTGAGCCGGGCGGCTCCTTGAGATCGCTTTTATTGTGGGTGGTTTTGGCAGGGACATGTGGGTGCAGGGGGCGCGTGGGGGTGTGTGTGTGCGTGCAGAGTCCTGCCCGGGCCCCGACACAAGGCCTCCTGGTCCCACGAGCCCCGGGACGCCCCTGGGGCTCTCTCCGGCTGCAGCCCTTTGTTTCGTGTCTTATGCAGCTCCCTGCGCCATGCACGGAGCCGGGAATTTCCCTTGGACGGAAGCGGGTCCTGCCRGCTCGCGCTCGTCGCCAGCTCCGGTAGGAAACAAAGCGCCCGGCGAGTGAGAACATCTGCAATCACGCCAAATCCAGCGGAGTCCTCCGAAGCGGAGGAAGCAGCGGCCGCCAGGGGATGCTCCCCACGTTCAGGAGGAGCTAAACTCGCAGCTGGCTCTGGTGGGAGACGYACGGTGCCCTGAACGGGGACAGGAGCAGCGCGAGGGCTGCGCGCCTGGATTCTTGGAGTCCTCTCCTCCCCATGGCCAGCGACCGATCCTCAAAGGGGACGAGTAAATCCCACCGCGCACTCCTGCAGCACCAGGCCTTGGGCATGAGGCCCCTGGCAGCCTCGCGGCACAGCGGCAACGCCGAAAGCCCCCGCCACCCCTCGGCACAGCTCACGTGAGCGGGGCCGCTTTGGACTGCGTAGAAAATCAAGTAGTTTTCACATATTTAAAAAAAAAAAAAAAGGATGGAACCGCAGTTAGGCCAGTTCCTGAACAGCGGGCGGATAAGCGATCCCCATCTCGGCSTGGCTGGCGGTGCCACTGAGAGATCCTGCCGGGCGCTGTGGTCCCAGGGCTGCTCCGTCCCCCCACTCCGTCGGCGCTCCATCCGTGGGAGCGGGCGCAGTGGCAAACGGGCCCGGAGAGGATCCGCTGTGCCGCTTCCTTCCTCCACGCCGCGTCACAGCAGCAAAGTGTGAGCTTCCTCCTGCAGGGATACAGAGGGACGTGAGCAGCGGCGAGCGGAGATGGCAGTGSGCGCCTCCAAAGCTCTCCATGCTCCCGCCTTGGTCAGCATCTGTGGCAGCCCGATGGGGGATGTGTTTCCCACCCCATGCTTCCCACCAACCGCTGCACTCACTCATCTGGAGCAAATCCGGCCCGTGCTGCTGCAGCTTGTTCCAAGAGGCTCCCTCCCGAGCAGGTGTGAATGAAGTGGTGCCAAGGACACCTTCCCAGTCACCGTGAGATCCAAGTGGCTTTTCACACACGTGGTGCGCAGAGCGTCGCCCCCAGAGCGCCCTCCCTGCCACGGCCGCTTCACCTCGTGCCTCGCCGTCTTCGGCCTCCGGGCACCCCGGGAACCGTCTGGGCCCCGCAGCTGCTCGGAGTCCAAAGCGGAAAAACCTCCGGYACCAGGGCCGTCACGTTACCTGTGAGCGGGAAGCACAGGGACACGGTCAGCAAGATGGGCACCCTCATGCGAGGGGCGCCAGCCTGATCTGCGGCACCGTGGAGGATGAGGATTCAGCTCTTGGTGCTCACTTGGAACAAGGGCTGGCGACGGTGGGAGTGGGCGGGTAAACCAAGGCCACGTTCACTCGCTCGCTGCCGTTCTTGGGGCAGATGATCTCCGTGAGCCCCTCCGGCCTCGGCTGGCTCAGCAGCTCTCCTGGGAACAAGAGAACATGCAGGGACAGTGCTCGCAGGGCGCCTCCTTGCAGCTCCAAACGCTCCCTTCCCACAGGAGCACGGGCAGCGCCGAGGATGAGGTTCCAGGCGAAGGAAAAGCAGCCACCTGCAGCCCGAGCAGGCGGCCGTGCCAAGGCCCCTCGCCCAGACCCCATTTCTCGGCACAAGCGGAGGTGGTGCTGGTGCTGCCCCAGGTGCGCGCCCTTCCCTGCATCCCTTCCAGGGTGCTTCTCCACGGGAAGCCTAGCGAGGACCTCGATCCAGCCGTGTGCTCCATGCCTGCGTCAGCACCTCCYGCTCCTTGCTGGATTTCAGCTGCCAGAGCCAGTTACAAGCATCTAAGAACACCAGGCAGCTGCTGCTCCCAACCCAGGTCCGCTGTGAGCACGTCYCCTCCTCTCACACCCGCTGCTCTTCCCGTCCTTGGCTTACTGGGCTTTGGGATGGGACGCCCCCGCTGCGGGGCACACGCTGGCGGCACGGCCCGCGTGCGCCTCTGGCCCTCAGGAAATACCCATGAAATGCCGGAGCCCCGCAACGAATCGGCAGCACGGAGGGAAGCTGCCCGCGCGGGCAGCCAGCCGAAAATCCAGCCGCTTCCAGCAGCTGCTGCCTGGCTAAAGGAGCTCCAAAGAAACCAGCCCATCTGGGTAGCTCCAGGAGCATCTGGGAAGGTTTGGAGCCTCTGGCACCTTAGCACAGCATCCAGGGAGTGCCAGGAGAAAGGCAGGGATGCTGCGGCATCGAGGACACGGCACTGCACAAAGCTCACCAAGGGGCCCGCGAATCCTCCCAACTGCCGAGTATTTTGCCGCCCTGCTGCTCCGTGCCCTACAAAGCTGCCTGCGCTCGCTCGTGGCGCAGCGCTCGGGCGACCGAGATACGAAGCCATGAAAAATTCATCAGCTTCATTAACATTTCAGGAGCTTATTAGCTGGAACGAGAGCGGCCGTCAAGACATTTTCGGGAAGAGGTGCAGCGTGACGAGCCGCCCTCCTCCCAGAATAGGAACACGCAGCTTCCAAGCCCCCAGATCTGCTTTGCGGCTATTTTTACCGGCTCCGCTTTGGCGCAGGGCCCCGCGCGCTCTCCTGCCGCAGGGAAAGCCGCAGCAGGCCCACGCACTGCTGTCTGCTCGCCGGGAAGCCCGGCTCCATCCTGCCTTTTCCCTGCCTCCAGTTTCCAAGGACCTGCCTTCCTCCAGCCCAGACGACAGCGAGGAAACCCCGACCGCACGGGCGGGGCCCATACGGGCCTGCGGCGCCCGACTGGTGAATAACTGAACTTCTCCCTGGKTAAAAAGAGACTTGGCTGCTTGGGTTGTTCGGCACACCTGAGCTGATCGGAGGAGGCTGCTTCGCTAACCAGCACGGCAAGCGCTCTCCTCAGCTTTCACCTCCCGATTCACTGGGTTAAGGAGCAAAATCTGAGTGCTCCGAGTGCTGCTCATGCTCACGTGTTTGAGTTATTGTTTTATYTACTAACTGCAGCAACTTTAAACTCGCCCTCATGTTAAAGATCAGGGAGCAAAGCCCCATTTTYGTGCATTAGCTCAACGTGCCCTCGAGGGCGCTTCACGGCGGCGGTGGCTTCACAGCGCYGTCCGTCGCAGAGCTTGCTCGGGGCTTCACTCGAGCACAATAAAACGCTGCCGTGCTGCTTCCCCCACCACACTTTCTGCTAGTTAATAATTACTCGCCAGCACCACCACGGCAGCGAGGCGGAAATCTGAGCCGCTTCTGTGCCCCGCGTGCAGCCAAGGCCGGTCCCGGGTCAAGGGTTTCTCCTGTGGGACGGAGCGCGAGGCTGACGTGGCCGGGCAGGACGGGAGGAGTGCGGCGCAGCCRTGCCCACAGCACGCGATTTCCCGCAGCGCCAAACCCGCTGCAGGGCCAAGAACAAAGCCCCGCTTGTCCTCCCYGTAGTAAGGGCTTGGCAACGCCGCGTTCTGCTCGTCCCCTTCCCCAGGGGAATGAGGACTAAACTTTTAAATCTTTTTTTCCACAGCGAATCCCCAACATATCCAACCATTTAATCATCCTTCCCCGAGCGCTCACGTTGCCTGAGCAGGTGACAACAGCTGAAATGAGCAGTCTTCGCTTGCACGTACGTTTTCCGTGGGCAATACAGGGAATTTATGGAGTTAACGGGACAGGTCGTAATCCCTTTGTGGTGGCGGACACGGGCACCAAGAGGCGCCGTCCCCGCCAGCGACGCCTTAGCTCCGTCTCCTGCCCGAGCTCCTTGGTACCTTTCTGGTACAGAAGTCAAAGAAGGGAAAGCAAAGAACCCCCCCAGAGCATTTCCTTGGAGCGTTCCCGGCACAAATACCCCTGCTGGGGGAAAGGGCCATAAGAGACTCAACTCCTCACGTTTGTCTGCACATCTCAGCCCAGACAAGGTCGGAGCCGACCACAGCGGCCRGGCTGCATCACTTGCCCCTGGAAGCAGGAGCTGAGATGGTGCTGGGAGCCAGCCATGGTCACCCACGAGCCACCAGGACTCGCAGCTGAACTGCCTGAGGGTCCGCAGGGARGTTCAGCTCTCTTTTCACTGGAAAAAAGTGAATTTTGGGCCCAAGGGCCATGGACCAGGTGGAGAGGAGCTCTGCCCAGAGGACTGGATGCCAGGGAGAGCAGCGGGGTGGCTGCAGTGCCAGTGTGTCATGTGTCAGGCACAGAACGGGAAGCTCCTCTGGGATAAGTTTCCCAACTGTAGCCAGTTGGAGAAGCCCGCGTCATCCCGACAGGTCGGTTTTCCACGCCCAGCAAGTGCTGTTAYCCGAAGCGAGCGCGTCAACGTCTCGCTCGGACAAAGGAGCGGTTTGTTCCAGAGGCAGGAGGAGAGAAATGCAGAGGGATCCGAAAACTCGCCCCGTTACGTAACGCCCTAGCGCGGCTCGCTGCTCGCCGCGCGCTCTGGAAACGCGCCACGGAGCCCTGCGCCGCAGCACGTTGTGCCCTGGGAGCCCGCGCAGCGCAGGGGACATCCCAGCGCGGCGGGTGCCGCCTCGGCCCCATCACGGAGCAGCCTGGCGCTGCCCGCGTGCCTGTCCCTCCGGACTGGCAGAGCCCGCCGGGCTCCCCGGGGGCGAGGATGGGGCGGCCACGCGCAGGACGCTTCCCAGTACGTTTCCGCCCACAGCTCCCCAGGCAGACAGGAGGGATTTCCCAAGGAAKGGGGCTGCTCCTAGGTCCCCGCCGCCCCTATACTCGTGAGGCCCCGAGTGCCCAGCCCTTCAGGCACCGCTAAGCTCTGCACCGTGCCGCAGCAAACGCAGCTGCCTMTCCCCGTCCACCAGGGACGTGATCCTGAGCAATCTGACAGGCAGCAGAGCTATTTTTTCCCAGTAATTAATGGAGCAGAGGGAGGATGCACGCAGGGCCCGGGGAGATGCAGCCGTAACGACGCTATGATGCATGCGGCAAACATGCACGGAGAGGGCACAAAGGAGGGTGTCACCTGCGCCCGCAGGCCAAGGCCGCCTCGGCCGTGCGCGAGCCACAGCTCTGGCAGGCTGGCCTATAGGCGAGCCCATCAGCCCACCACAGAGCAAGCGGGCCAGGTGGGATCCATACGTTGCCTCCTTCATGGCCACATATGGTCTCCACTAGCCAACGGCGCCGGCACGTTTTGCTGCAGCACAAGGAGCTCCACAGTTATAATCCAGGCTGTACTTTAAGCACCGTCTTCCCACCTCCTCATCCCTTTCAGGTGTTCCCTTTCCTACCAAAAGGATGAAAACAGTCCCAAAATAGCAGAGCCCATAATTGGCAGCCCATAAGCTCACCTGAAGGGAGGTGACCTTGTTTCGCTCCAGCCGGCCCTGCAGGAGAAGGGCCACATTGCAGGGCAGGGGGTGTAGGGGCACCGGGGAGCCGACCCTCTCCTCTCCGCCCCCAGGCGATATTTTCCTCTTTCCTTCACAGAGGGTTTTTCTCCTCTGCTTAGGAGAGAGAAACAAAGTCCCTGACCCTCTGGAAAAGAGGAACGTTTCTGTGTTGGTGATTTTCAAGATTTCAAACACAAACTCCTCACTGAACACRTTCCTTTCCCCTCTCTCAGCTTCCAGGAGCCAGTAGCCTGCCCTGCCATTAGCAGATCGCTGGAGAACGCGCCGGGCTGCTGCAGTCACCTGCTCCTCGCTGGCGCCACGGCACCCACGAGAATTGCCCCAAGGCAGAAACATTCCTGTTTTACCCTGTGCTCTCCCAGGGATGCTCGTCCCTTTGGAGCCCCATCCCAGTGTGGAATAACAAGGTCACAGCGCCTGGAAAGGCGGCGGATTTGACTTCCCACTACCCTCTCCCAAGGCACAAGAGGAGGAATAGGAGCCAGCAACGGACTTGCACCTTGGCGCACCCCACACCGCTTTAGACACGGAGGGCTGGCGTCCCCACGAGCTCCTGTCACAAAACACAGCGTCCTTGCCAGTTCAAACGCGCTCCATTTGCGGGGGAGCAATGGAGTTTTGAAGGCTGTTCCCATGCAAGGAAACAGGGACTCATGTGGCATGAGCAGCTTTCCCAGGTTGTCTCCTGCAAGGAGGCCTCTCAGGACCCTCTTTTTCTAGGGGCCAAGGGCACGGACTAGAGGGTCTTGCCATGCGCGAGTGTCGCTATTGCAGCAACATTTCCCCTTCTCACTGCCGGGCATCACRCTGGCACTTGGCTGGCATGTTTGCAGCCCTTCGCAGCGGTTATATTTAGAAGTCCAACCAAGAGCTCCTTGCCTAGGGAGAGCTCGGTGCTGCCAACCCAGCAGGGCCCCCCAGCCGACAGCAGCCGCTCTTTGAAAGAYGGCTCGAATCTCTGGAGCCTCCTGCAGCCTTCGAGACCTTCCGTGCAAACCAGTCTCGTGGGCTCCCCTTCATGCGCCCGTTGGGACGCTGCTCATCTCATCCCTGCCCTTCTGGAGGCTCTGTCCACCTCGAACCACAGGCGTCACAAGACGACCCAGAACTAGCCCTGCTCGGGCCCCTGCAGAGGGTTTTCATGCAGGAACCACGCGGTGAGAGCCAGCAAATGCTGCCCTCTGCACCCTGCTAGACGGGCGGCAGCTTTGCCCTAAACTCCCTGCATTCTGCTCTGCCAAGGGGTGCTCGGAGATGCCGCTCGCGCCGCCCAGCCCGTTCAAACAGAGCCCACGGGCCAGCCAGGCAGCCGCCGGCCCCACAGCCGCTTTGGGGCTACAGGGAGCCTACGGGGATGTGAACAAACGAAAGCCCTTCCGCGCAGGAAGCAAAAGAACAAACACCCTCGTGCACAGAAATTACAGCCATTGTGGGGCCGGCAAGCCTGCCGCCTGGCAGCGGAAACAGCGCCTGCCGCTCGCTCCGAGCGGGAATTTGCCTTTTCCAGCCTCCAAGGGGGCTTCTGATTTAGACATGAAGCGAGCGCGAGGAATAAACCAGGGCGCCGCTTATCAGCCAAGCTGCAGCCTCRGAGCAGGCCGAGGTCACTGCTCTGATTCCAGCTCCGTTACTGCTTCACCCGGGCACAAAACTACATTTCAGGCATGAAAACTTCCTTATAAGGACCCTGCCCAGGCTTTTTTTTTTTTCTTCCCTCCTTGTTTGTTTGCAATAAACCCTCAGAAGGATGAAGCCGGGATCCCAATTCTCGTTAACCGTTTCTGTGCCCGCTGGAAAATCTCTAGGAAAACAGAAGATCTGGAGGGCCTGGCGGGCAGGGAGCGGGGTTAGGGGCGAGGCTTGAGCAGCAGCCCTCGGCACGAGAGCGGCACGGGCTCGGACACGCAGCCCTCCCGCCACCCTGCGCCCGCCTGCAGCTCCCTGGGGTTGCGGCCTCTTTCTCGGGTTTGTCTCTCGCCGCACGCAGCGGCCCTCACGCCAGCGCAGGCAGCTCGGGAGGATGCAGCCGGGCTCGGGAGCAGGAAAGCGTCTCCTCGCTTTCACTCCCGCACAAAGAAAGGAAGGGAGAAACCCCTCTTGTTCACATTACCCCTCACAGAGCAAGCGCAGAGGCCTTGCTGCATGGAGGTGCGGAGGAGACGGGCGTTCCTGGAGCACAGGGCTCGATTCCTCACCCATCTGCAGCTCAAACGTGGGGCAGATACTGAGGAGATCCRGAGCTCCGCGGTGCCCCACACCTGCTCGCGCCGGCAGAGATGCCGCTTGCTTTGGAAAAGCGGGGCACGGCAGGGGAGGATCTCGGTGTGTGTATGTTTTCCACGTACATACGTACGCGTGTCTGGAGAACAATAGCTCCCAAGCGTGCAAGCCACGGGAACAAAGAGGCCGGGGYGTCTCCGGGCAGCGCCCAGGCCAGGCCGCTCGTCTCCCGGCTGCGCGGAGAGGAGAGGAGAGGCCGGCCCCTTACCTGGGAAGGCGTGCGGGTTGGGCGACCCTCGCTTAAGGCACTTGGAGCAGAGCACGTGCACGGTGTAGTAGAGGCCGGGCCACTCCTGCAGCAGGCCGTTGAGCTCCTCCACCAAGGGCGTGATGGCCTGCCAGGCCGTCCAGATGTTGGGCAGGGACGCGTGGCTGGCGATGGAGAGCGTGGCGGGGCGCGGGGCGGCGCCGGCCGGCCGGTAGCTCACCACGACGGGCACCTTGCCGCGGTAGGCGTACACCTGGCAGCGGCCGTCCGAGCGCTGCACCACGTGCCTGTTGATGTGCACGCTGTAGCGGGCGAAGAGCCCCGGCGGGAAGATGAAGGGGAAGCTGTAGCGCACCTGCAGCTGCTCCACGGCCAGCGGCGGCCCGCTCAGCCCCGCGCCGTGGATCCACGCCTCGGCGTGCGGCACCTCGTTCCGCACGTAGCCCGGGAACTTGTACCAGGYGGCGGCGGCGCCGTTGCCGTTGAGCGGCGCGCGCTTGCCCTTGTTGACGCAGTAGCAGAGCCCCATCTTCTCGAGCAGCTCGAGGAGGAGCTGCAGGTCCTGGCGGCTGCGCACGTGGGGCTCGAGGAGCAGGCGGATGACGTGGGCGGGCAGCAGGCCGTGCAGCAGGAAGCCCTCCACGTAGTGGCGCAGCTGCGCGGCGCGCAGCTCGTCGGCGCCGGCGGCGCCCAGCAGCTTGCGGAGCAGCGCGGCGCCGTCGCGCTCGCAGAACACGCTGAGCACGTCGATGAGGCGCGGCAGGTTGTGGAACACGTACTCGCGCAGCGTCGGGTGCTCCTCGAAGTAGAGCAGCTTGCCGCTCTCGTGCAGGTAGCTCAGGGCGCTCTGGAGCCGGTCCTCGGTGAGGCCGGCCTGCAGGCCCAGGCGCGCCGAGTCCCACCAGCTGAGCCAGAGGCGGCGCGCGGGCGGGCGCAGGTGCAGCTCCTCCAGCACCTGCCAGGAGCGCGGCAGCACGCGGTGCAGGTTGGGGAAGATGTCGCGGTGCTCGGCCACGGAGAGCAGCTTGTCGCGCAGGCGCCGCGCCTGGCCGCGCTCGCGGCAGCCGAAGGGCAGCACGGGCGACAGGATCTGCGGGCGGTTGTTGAGCAGGTACTGGCACTGCGCCTTCTTGCGGCGCAGGTTCTTGTCGGACACGCCGTAGAAGGCGGCGTGCGGGCTGGAGCCGCGCACCTCCAGGTCCTGCGCCAGCGCCTCGTCCACCTGCCGCACGAGGCCGCGCAGGCGCTCGCCGTCGCGCTTCTCCTGCGCCGCGATCTGCCGGTGGATGTCGAGGCACTTCTCCTCCAGCTCCCGCTCGGCGCACAGGTCGGCGTGCGTGCCCACCATGCACACCACGGCGTGCGGCACCTTGGCGCCCAGCCAGTGCAGGAAGTAGCCCACGGCGCCGTAGAAGCGCTGCGGCGCGTAGGCGCTCAGGTCCACGGCGAGCACGTAGAGGGCGCCGGGCGAGAGGAAGAAGGACTGCACGGCGTCGTAGCCCGGGTCGCCCGCCAGCTCGTACACGATGAAGGCCAGGCCGCGGCGCGCGTCCGCCGCCCAGTCGGTGACCTCGACGCCGCGCCGCGCCGCCGCGCCGCCCGCCGCCTCGTCGCCCATGAGGCGCCGCCGCAGCAGGCTCTTGCCGGCGCCCGCGGGGCCCAGCAGCACCAGCTTGAGGCGCGGCTTGAGCGCCGGCCGCGACTGCGCCAGCTCCTGCTGGTAGGCCGCGATGTAGGGGATGCCCTTCATGCACACCTCGTAGGGCGGCTGGATCAGCGGGTTGTCCTTGATCTTCCAGAGGGTGACGCGCGCCAGCTGCCCGAAGCCCTCGGGCAGCACGGCGATGAGGTTGCCCTGCAGCACCAGCTCCTCCAGGCTGCGCAGCCGCACCACGGAGTCGGGCAGGTAGCGGATGCGGTTGTTGTCGAGCCAGAGCGCGCGCAGCTGGCGCAGCTGCCCGAGGCCGGCGGGCAGCAGCGTGAGCTGGTTGCGGCTCAGGTAGAGCTCCTCGAGGCCGCCCAGCGCCAGCACGGCCTCGGGGAACTCGGCCAGCGCGTTGGACGAGAGGTTGAGCGTCTTGAGGCGCTGCAGGCGGCCGAAGCCGGCGGGCAGGGCGCGCAGGCTGTTGCCGTCCAGCATGAGGCTCTCGAGGGCGCCCAGCTGGCAGAGCCCCTCGGGCAGCGCCGCGAGGCCGGTGCCGCTCAGCCACAGGGTCTTGAGGCGCCGCAGGGCGGCGATGCCCTCGGGCAGCGCGCCCAGGTGCCGGTTGCCCGAGCAGTCGAGCTCCTCCAGGGCGGAGAGCTCCAGCAGCGGCGCCGGGAAGGCGGGCAGCAGGTTGTGGTCCACGTCGAGCGCCCGCAGGCGCTGCAGGCGGCCCAGGCCCTCGGGCAGCCGGCGCAGGCGGTTGAAGCTGAGGTCGAGCTCCTCGAGGCGGCCCAGCCCGGCCAAGCGCGGCAGCGGCGACGAGCTGGACGGCGACGCGGGCGGCGACGATGATGGCGTCGGCGTCGACGGCGGGGCTGACGACGTCGACAAACACGTTGACGGAGAGGTCGGCGACGTCGMTGTCGACGTTGACCACGTTGACGAAGACGTTGACGGCGTTGGCGAAGACGTGGATGGAGACGTCGACAACGTYGACGAGGGCGTCGATGAAGCGGCCGACGAAGTCGTCGGCGAGGTCGGCCACGCGGGCGGCGCGGGCAGGAGGCCCAGCTCGTTGTGGCTGAGGCTGAGCTTGCGGAGGCCSGCGAGGGCGGCGAGCGCGGCGCCGTCGGCGTCGCCCAGGCCGCGCAGGCGGTTGTGGCTGAGGTCGAGCTCGGCGAGGCGGCGCAGGCG